ACACATCAGATAGAACGTTTATTATCACTAAATTACCAGGTAAAGGTGGCAACACTCACTTCCTTATCACCATTCTCTTCAAAAGCCAGAATCTATGACAAGATTATCAGTTTTTGATAATAACCATAGTAATCTTTGTCCTGTCTCAAATGCATTTAGAAAATGTAGTTTTCCAGTCTCTAACCATATATTATCTAATTTTTTTAATTATAAGGAAAGGGATTTATCAAAAGAGATAATATAATAAGAAAAATTACTACATAGCAAAGTTACTATAAATCCCCGAATTCCAGATCTGTAAAAGATCCACTGTCCCTTAGTCTTAAACTGCCATAAGAAAAATTAAGCAAGGGGTTTATTAACTAAATTTGAACAATGGGAAGAAAGGCAAAATTATTACATACTTATTTTTGTTACATAGATATTAATAAATTGAATGTAAGATGGTGGTTGATAAAGAAAACATGTAAGGATTACTTTTATTGCAATATAATTATAGTTTAGGAGAGGAATTAGACCCTTACTGGTGTGGCTCATTTGGTTGGGCATCATCTTGCAAAGGGCCAATTCCAGTCATGGCATATGCCTGTGTTAGAGGTTTGGGCCCACTCCCACCCCCAAGCCCCAACATCAAGGCTCCTGTGAGATGCAACTGATCAATGTTCCTCTTTCACATCGATGATTTTATCACTCTCTTTCTCCTTCTCTTCCTAAAAATAAATAAATATTTTAAAAAGAATGGAATTAAAAATAAAATTGAGTATGTCATAAAATGAATACAATACATATTTATATTAGAACAGGAAAAGGTTGAGTACCCCTAGAGTTAAATAAGATGTATCATCTGTAAAATGAGTATATTTTATAATATAACAACTCATGTTGGTTATGAGGATGAAATGAGTTAATGTATTTAAAAATATTATTGCCACAGAATTAAGCATTCAATACAGAGATGGGCAAAATTAAGTTTACAGCTGTGAGTATGCTAAATACAGTTTATTCATGTATTATTATTTATTAATTATTGTACTATGTTCCATACTAACAACTGTAAACCTGTTTCTGCCTACACTGCATAAGCTACAAATATAAACTCTAGACTTTTAAAGAATGTTGTTTTTAAAAAAACTTTTACTAACCCATCTTAGTAATAATGCCATCTTAACCACCGTAACTTATTTGGATCAATCATATGTCCTTCTAGCAGCTAGATTTTTGATTTTATAAGATTATGGTCAATGAAGTAGCTGAATCTAGGCTTGACTTGGAGGTGCATAGGGGATTAAGGTGTTGTTAGTAGAAAGCTAGAATCATTTAAAATACATTTCTGGTTACTAAAAGGACAAAGAAGTTAGCATTAAGGGAGTCACAATAGCCAAACTGTGACAATTTGTGTATGTATATAAATAAATTGAATCCGCAAAAACTCATGCAACTCTGTTACTCAAAATTAGAGAGTTTTATGTGATGCATGTGTGTCTATAATGTATATGCAATTTTCATGCAAAAGAGAAAAGGCTGTAAGAGGATATGTTTACATTTTGTTTAATAAGTATGAAATTGTTAATATATGGATATCTTGATTCTTCAATTAAATATGTATCTATTTATAATATAGATTAATACCTTTTTTATAAATATAATTAGAAGAGACCCATCTGGTGTTTATTTAACATTGTCTAGTAGATCTTAAAATCACATCATTTTAAGCAAATGTCATATTCCAAAGGGCAAAATCTTATGTAAAAACTATAGATTTAAGGTATCATTGATAACACAAAAATAATGTTCAATTAATCAAGAGGCTGAGTCTGTTAAATATGTCTCACTTTTGAATGAAGCAAACAAAATTCAATTGGTTGGTAATTTATAAACTGACTCTGGATTGAGTAATATGATCCTCTTTTCTATTTTTTTTTTTTGAAGATCACAGTAGAGAAACATATATGATAAAAACTCTCTCTCTTTATGTGTATGTATACACACACACATATATATATATACACACATATAAGTATGTGTGTATGTATGGTGAAATTAATGTATAAAAAGTAAAAATATTTACATAATGTTGTAAACTGACAAGAGTATAAAAGTATAACTCAAGTATAAGCACGACAGTTTAATTCTAAGTATTAATACAAAGTTTTATAATAATTTTCATAATTTGCAAATTTTGTCTAATTATATGACATTTACAACATTTAATAGATTCATGTTTAGATTTGAACATTTAATTTTTATATACACTTAAATAATTACCTAAATTTAATAAATATATGTTTTGAAATGTTACTATATAATAAATATTTAAACTTTTACATAAATGATGGTTGATGGATATAAAGGATTGATAATTTCACCTTTAAAGTGTGTCATGAGTAATGAGGTTTCTCCACTCACAAAAGCCCTTTGACCTTTAAACATTGTACTTACAATAAGTAGAGTTAATATTCTATGTATCTATGAAGCTGGACATAGAGAACCATGATATAAAGGAAAGTTGGCACAAAGTTTTTGATCTTACTTTACCTTTGAATCCTTTTACTTCCTCCCCCCCTATTTTTTCTCACCAACTTCCCACCTCATTTTCTGTCTCTATCACAAAACTACCTTGATGCCTAGAATTCTATCTCACTCATGCTCACACCCAAGTATACTAGAAAGCAAATTGGCCAACTTCACCTTTTCTCTTTATCTTCTGTATTTGCATTTTCACCTAAAGATTACATGGAAATAAAAGATAAAACTAAACATGAAAAACTTAATTTTTGAACATCATCAATATGGATCTATTTAGTGGCAGGCTAATTTTGAGGCAGGAGTGACCCTCCCTAAATAAATAACTGCTTCAGCCAGTCATGTTTGGGATCTTATGCATATGCGTGGCCTCTAGAATACTGTGTTGAGACAAGTGATGTGTGAGTAGGGAAGAGCAGGAACATAAATGCTACCAGAAAATACATATATGTCTATCCATGTGTTTGAGTTAAAAATCAAGCAAATGTCGCTCTAAATGAAGCACAACAGCTTTATGCTGAATAGGATAGACGACAGATATAGATAGAAAAATGATAGATAGATGATAGATATAGATGATAGATGATGATGATAGATGATAGATAGATAGATAGATAGATGATAGACAGATAGACAATAGATACCAGTGAGCTTTCCTTAACTAGTCATTGAACTGTAAATGCAGGTACCAACCTGCTCACTGCGGGTGAGGATGTGTATTTGATAGCTGTGACTAGTCTTTGCAGGAATCCTAAGAAAGCACAGTCATACCGACATGTAGGATTTTGACTTTGGGTGGTGAACACACAATACAATATACAGATGATGTATTATAGAATTGTACTCTTGCAACCTATATTCTTTTATTAACTGATATAACCCCAATAAATTCAATAAAAATATTTAGAAAAGACGCGTAGAATCTTCTAGTAAATATATTTCTGCTCTGAAGGATGCAGAAAGGTTCACATATTTTGCCATGACTACTGGCTCTGAGGGGGAAAAAAAAGTCTGATATACAGGCTATTATGAATTTGTGTGTATGTGTCAGATTGTATAGTACAAAGAGAAAGGCATAGTCAGTAATATCTGTACATCATGTTCTCTGGATCTGCTGTATCTGTTTTTGAAAAGACTGTTCAACAGAAAACCAATTAGAATTATTGCTCATCAGGCTACTTTTACTGTGTATACAGCAAATATGTATACCAGAATAATATGTATGTATACTGAAAAGTAATAGGTATACTGAAATATGTATACTGAAAAGTAATAGGTTCTTTGATGCATCACATAATTATTTTCTAAAATAAAAGGAGTGTGTATAGGCTACTATTGTGATATGGTAAGTGTATGTAAAGTTCCTATATAAACTCCTTAGCCAAATCTACTTTATAAGATAATATTTACATTTTTCTAGGGCTTAGATCAATGTTCATTCTCCAAAGTGATCCACTATCATTTCTTTTTTTCCCCTCTTTCTTCATACTTCTATAATAAGTTGTCTAGCTTCTGGGTTAATTATAAATAATACATGATAAAGATTATATAAGGAAACATCAATTATTTCATTCTTCAGGGTATAATTTTAACTTAAAAATCAGAATTATGTAGCCAATAGAGTCACGTATAAATGATTAACACAAAGAGTCATGGCCCTCCTACCTGTAGTTTATAATTTGTAATCCTTAACAATTTAAATTAAGTAGGATTACTTACTAAGAGATAGTATTAAGTTTGTTTGTTTGTTTGTTTGTTTGTTGTTTCTTTAGCCTAGTAGTCTATCCTCAATTTGGATAAGCCCTCATTACAATTGAAATAATTTGTATTTAAAAATCAGTACATTTAGTAAATCAGATATAAGATCTGTTTTAGAAATGTATATATTATACTATATATTATATATTTTATATATTACAATATATATCTCATGTAACATTACATGTGATATCTTTTTTCTGATAAAAAATATTGGGGCAACTGGTTAGGAAGTTCTAGTCAGAATCTGAAATATTTGCATTTCAGAGGCATTCCTTTGATTCCATGACCCATAAACAGAATTTTTAAAATATGCCAACTCATATCCAGAAGAATCTGTAGCAAATAGATTATAATAAACAGCAGAAGGAATAAAAGCAAGTAAGTAGATATTTTTAAAAGCAGACAGAATTAGAAATCTATTTTTATTAGATTTCAAAAAAATATTTGAGTTATAAAAATAAAACTTGATCTGCTTTCATGAAGAGTATTTTTAATGTCCCAGGTTAAAATGTGGTTTATTTGAAGAGGGCAGACATTTCAAAGAATTCCAAAATATCTTAGGTAGAAACATATTGTTTTCATAGTTCTAACACTTACCAAGGTTCTTCACTGTTTTAAAATTTGAGGTCTTATGCTTTTGCCTAACTGGGCTTTAAAATTAAATATATACACACTACATACCTATATGTGGAGATAAAAACATAAACTTTACTCACAGGCAAACTGAAGTATGGCTTCTCTACTAAGAATACTTCCATAAGTGTTGGCTGCTAGACACTGGTAATGACCAGAATCTTTTGCTTCACTTGGATTGCTTATAATGAAGGTCCCGTCTATCAAACTGTAGCGATAATCACTTTCCAAATCAATCTCTGTTCCATTTCGAAGCCATCTTAGGAAAAATCAGAAAGCAAATGGTAAAAATGACTTGAGACATTATAATACTCCTTGGGAGTGTGAGAATTTCACTGAAGAGAATTTTTAAGATTCAAGTAAAATGAATTACAGTGAATTTCTACCTGTAATTGGGAACTGGGTTGCTACGAACTTCACAATTCAGTGCTACTTTCTTTTCATCAGAATCGGTTGGGAAAATTATATCATCTGGTTCTTGTACAAACACTGGCCCATAGTCCACACTTTCTGTAAGGACCAAAAAGACACATTTTAAAAATATTTTAAATATCAAGACATGTTTTTTTCTCAATTATTTTGCATTCAAAATTCTTGCTCTTTCTTTGTACCCAAAGACACTTTACCAAAAGGAAGGTATAGCCATCAAATTACATTGTTTTAGTAAATTGCTGAGACCTAAACAGAACATTTTTGTAATTGACTGAAATAGCTTTTAAAAATATGGTATATAATGGAAAAACAAGCCTTCCAATCATTGTTTTTGTGCATTTTAAAATATTTATCTTTGTATTCATCTGAAACAGAGTATTATCATGTAAATTAGAGTAAAAAACATTATTCAATGATTTTATTCATATGTGGAATCTAATGAACAAACTGAACTAACAAGGAAAATGGGGACAGACTCATAGACGGAGAGCAGGATGACAGCTAAAAGGTGGGCAGTTAGAGGGCGGAAGGATTGAGCAAAAAGGAAAAAGGACTCATGGACATGGACAACAGTGTGGTGATCCCTGGGGGAAGGGAGGTATTAGAGGACTAAATGGTAATGGAAAAAATACAATAAAGATTAAATTTTAAAAAGTTTAAAAACTAAAAGTTTGTAAAGTCTCTTAGAATGTTAAAAATATACAATAAATAAAAAACATGAAATAATATTGTGTTACTGTTTTGACACTACAAATATGAAAACATCAGTCCTCATGCATTCTTCATATATTGCTTTCTTTACTCATTCAATTAAGCAAGCACTAATTAGTGTTAATAATCTGGGAGTGTAGGGAAAATTTATATAATGCAAATAAATATATTCTCATAGAACAAATAAAATATATCCTCAAAAATTTAACTGAACAAAAATGCCAAAACTGTATAAAATTAAATATTCACCAGTAAGTAAATAAGTAAATAAGGAAATCAGAAGAGAAAAGACTTAAAAAGGAAGGCAAAAAGGAAGAGCATGTAAACTCATTAAGTGCTTCCTGTATGCCAGATAACAGGTTCTGTCTTGTTTAATTAGTTAATACTTAGAGAAAAATCTGTGATAGAGGTAATTTTAAACTAATGAAAATTAAATGGAAAAGTAGAAATAAATACAGGCCCCAGATATCAGGTTAGGCTTGAGGAAGATAATTATGCTAGTGAAATGGTGACTAACTGTGCTATGGAAGTATGTCAAGTTAGTCAGCAGTAGTGTAAGAATTTACAGAATTATATGTATACCTAGAGCATCCTGAATTTGATGAACTTAGAAGTACAAACGTTTTGCTTTATTTTTATCAATCATGAATTTGATTGCATGGTAAACTTAGATCATGATTCTCTCTTTGGCACAAGTGACATTTTGGGATATTTTGTGTTGTGAGACTGTCTTGTGCATTATATAAGATATTTACCATCATTCCTGGCCTCTATTCACTAGATTCCAGTAGTGCACCTTCCCAAAAGGTGATAATCAAAAATTCTCCAGGCATTGTTAAATTTCTCCTGTGACCAAAATTGCCACTTTTTAAAAACCACTTCCTTAGAAAAATGAAAAGGGAAGCTTTTAGATAAGACATATTTCCCACGTATATATCCTGATACATGCCTGTATTAAATAATTAGAGGTTTACGTCCTCTGTGGATAACCACAAGAAAGTATCAGGAAAGCAATGCAAGAATGACTGTCCCGGGAAATGTGGTCTTTAAAAGTTAGAACTGAAAATGTTGTATACCTTCATACTTAAAATATGGGTAAATTGATCTTCTTTCTTTAAATGCACCATATGTCCATTTTGAGAGGGAGGACAAAGAAAAGTGTTCATGGTATTCTAAACATTCATCCAATAAAAACTGAGCACTCACTATAGATAAGCACTAAGAATTCTTTTCTTTAGTCTTAGATAATTTAGCTGAGTTCTTTTTCTTAGCCTACAACAACAAAAAAATAAAAATAACTGATGTGTTTCTCTATACCAAATTATATTGCTGTCACTTAAAACTTTTATTCAAAAGAGGAAAATAATGATTGGATAACTAAATAACTACAAGAAATATTTGTCAAAATATTGTATTAATTGTTGCATCATAATAACTTTATAAAAGTTTAGAAAAACAGATGATATCTCATTAAACTCTCAATGAGTTAAACTGCACAATTAAGTCATGAAAAAATAATCCCTCCTAATCTTTTCACATTAAAAATGATTATTTAGGTAGAGATTGTGAGTGCCTTTGATGTAAAAAATTAACATTTAATACATATATTTTATGTATGTATAAATTATAAAACTCATGAGCTTTAGAGTCAGACACAAGTGGGTTTAAATTTCAGAACCATCATTTTCTAGCCTTCATCTAACTACTGTTATCTTTTGCTGCACCATTTATTAATTGTAGATAATAAGGCCTCCTGGCAGTATTATAATAAAGATTAATTGACATTAACATTTATAAATACAATACATTGTATAAATACTCAAAACATTATAATAAATAATCATAACTTTTACTTGTGGTATAATACTACTTGCCAGACATTATACTGAAAACTTTATGGCCATGTATCATTCAATACAACAACCATGTGGTCAGAAATAATCCCCCCATTTTACAGATGAAAAAACTGAGCTCGATATCAATTAACAAAATTCATATAGCAATAAATAATGAATCTCTTATACAAACCCATGATTGTTGGTATTTAGAATCTGATTACTACTACTAATACTTATAATTATTATTATATTTATGTTATAAAATTTATAAAGCACTTTAGGATAATATTTAATTCTATGGGCTGAGCATTATCATTGTTTCTAGTTCAAAGATGAAAACTCTTAGGTTCTGAGAGACATACAAATTAGCTACACAGTAAATAGTTGATTTTAACTAAGTTTCTTTAGTTTCAAATCTTATGTTCTGAATATAGTCAAAACAGAGAAGAGAAATAAAAGATTGTCATTCCGGGAAAAGCAGAGGGTAAGACTTGATAAATTACAGACTGAAAAACAAGAGACTGGTCTGAACAACATTTATTCTATTATGACTGTCCATACTCTGTTACATATGTCTTTCGTGTTCATTGTCACTCCAAAAGCATCTTAGCATGCACTCAATCACCCTCTCTCCCTCTCTCACTTTTCTCTTAGAAATGAAGTTCCTTGGAAGGGGTAAAAGAGCGTGTGTCTATGCAGGGTAATCATTAATGGTACTTTCTCTGAAGAGATTGGGTTTTTAAAGTTTTTTATCAAGAAGGAATTGTTATAGGTAAACTCAGAAAGAGAATTTGATTTATTCTCCTATAATTTTCAACTCCATCTACTGATAGGGATCACGCATTCATTGTTTAAAGCAATGTCCTTACATTTTGCAATTTTTAGCTTGATGGAATGTGCAACTTGCATAGATAGACCTCAAAACTTATATGACAGTAAACCATCACAAAGATCTTGATAACCAATAAATCAATATCTGACCTTAACAAGGTAGAAATCTTTGAGATAGTTGTGTAACAGGCAGATGCCATCACACATGATCTAATTTTTTATAGGAGTAATGTTTTTTTCTTGATCAGACTTTTAATGAAGAGACTACATAATATTTGTAGATGCTTGAACCTAAAATCTTAGTGGTTATTGCCTGTGAAATACCAAATTCATATCTCAAGTGTTTACTTTCTTCAGAGGATGATTGTTTAAGTTTCAAAATAAGCTGTTGTTTCTCTGCTTCAAAGAATGATGAAATTAACATCCTTTTTCTCACTTTCCCCAAGTTTACTTCCTATATTTTTCAGTTTTGTTTGTTAATCACAGTACCCATGGTTTATTATTCATAGTTATTACTATTAAAAGATTAAACATTTATTATGTCCTCTCACCATAGATTTCCATTTCTAAGTTTCTTATTTTTACCCAATAAAAAGATCATATGTGCTAGAGACCTTCTTATATGCAATATCTGTTGTTGTCTTTATAATTGAAAGACAACTTGACTGAGTATCAAATTAAGCATTCGCTATCATTCTTCCACTTTCTGTGTTCACATTTAATATTACCATAGTGATGTCAAAGTTCAAGACTGACTTTCTTCACTCCTCAGTGACTGGATTTTATGCCTGGATATCCATAGGCCTCTTTACTCATCATTTAGTCTCAAGGATTTTGCTAGATATATCTTGGTGTCATTTTGTATTACTTGCAGTTTCCAGAATTTCTTTTTCAAGAACTTCTCTTCATTTGTTCTGTTCTCCTCATATCACTTAGACACAACTTAGATTTTTTAATGTCTTATTTATCATCTCTGTAAAATAACTTTTATATCTTTATTATTCACCTATTTGTTTGCCTTTTTCAAATTTGGTTGCTGTGTTCCTATCCTTTCGGTAGCCTCTATATTACCAGTATTAAGGGTATGTGTAATCCTGGACTAGTTACAAAAATCACACACAGTCCACCATCCTCTCTCTCTTCTTTTGTCAAGTAGCTGAAGGTAAAGGAACAGCAGTTGCCAAAAAGCTCTAATAGGTATCAAAGATGTTATATGGACCAAATCTGGTTCCCAACTCTCCATAGAGAAGAACCAAATGGAATGTAACATGAATAAGAAAGAAATGTGTATTGTGTTAAAAAAAAACCTTTCTATCTAGAATTTCTTATTTTGATTAATATTATATTTAAACAAATGATTTCCAAACTTTAAAGATATAATTTTATTAAAAAGTAATGTGCACTGACACAGATATTATTTTATTATAGAGACCTACTTATGTTTTTCTTCTTAATTCAGGTCTTTTAATAACTACCTAGTTAAAGTATATCACCAGGTCTAGAGCTTATGACAGGAGATATTCAATTATTCAACCTTATATAGAACATTGTCAGTTATAGTGTTGCAGTTTTTATGACTGGTTTTCTATTTAATCCGTAAGCACCAGTCCTTCATATGCCCAAATTCTGAAAATGGGTTCTTATCTTATGTCTCTATTCCTAAATCCTATTTTGTTAACCCTTCTAGAAGGCCCGGTG